ATTTGAGCAATATATGAAGTAATTCAGTAAGATTACTGGAAAAAAAGTCTGAACAAGATTTATGTGCTAAAACTCAAACTCAAACTCAAAAAAAAATTATTTAATAATTTAACCTAATAATTAAACTTAATATCTGAGCGGTAAACTTGTTTACTTGACCAACTCAATCAGTAAATCATACAATTTTTCTTCAAAAAACAATAGCATACCGATTGTGCTCTCGTGCCAAGATTATATGAAACGAACTGAGACCCATAAACAGATTCACACGGCTATCACCGGCAACAAAAATTGCAGAGCAAGTTGCAGCACTGCGACATTTACTAGTATCGAAGGGCAACAAACGAAGGCCGTTGAAAGTCGGAGTTTTCAGGAATCCCGTACGACCGTCCCGTACCTTGTGCAAATCCTAAAACATAAATCACTATTGTTTTTGGGTTGTTAACTTACTAAAATGCAAATGTACCTCTTACAGTTTTTAGTCAAAAATCTCAAGTAATAATTAGTGAAATCTGGCTAAAACTCGACTAAAATTCAAAGAAATTGATCCTGGATTTTGAATCGGATCCATAGTTGAAAGTCACGATTTGATCATAGATCATATGCAGCTTGTTGCTGAATATGCTATGCGTTAACACATAGCAATGTGATTTTTTTACACTACTGGTGTTTTTAGCAACCCCGCTATTACAACTACAGAAAGCGCGAAATTGAAGTGGAAGAAATGGAAAGGAAGAGGGGAGGAAGGTACAAGAAGAGGATGACCGGTGAATGACCGGTTCAAAAAGTGGAAAGAAGGGCAATTATTCGAAGGTGAGTGTAAATGTCTAATAATATTGTTTCAAAGATTTTAATTAAAAAACCAACGTTTTAATTGTTTTCTTTGTATTCACTCCTTTCATCATATTCTACACTGTATTGACTTAAACTGATGAATTCGCTTACTCAATAAAAAAAATTTTCTAAGACAAAAACAGTCGTTGGTCTACCAGTCTGATTATCGTTCTAGCAAACCATCTAGATCAGGAATATGTGGATAATCGTAAAGCTAGAAGATGGCTGAATCGCAGCTGGTTCAGAATTTTGCATCCTTTTCACGTTCTTTTTTCAGCTCAGTACCTGGCCGTCTGCCTATGTAAATAAT